GTCAATGGTGCTGGAATACCTAGGTGTCTGTCTGCTCAGTGCAACCGAAGCCCGGACCTCGCTGTGTACACACCGAAACAACCCCCCGGGCCCTCCGAGTGCTAAGCATGGTGCTTAGTACTTCTCACGTGTGAAAAACCGTTTACTGGCCGGCCGGATTAATACATGAGACAATATTCCTCAGAGGATACAGTATGTGTCAACGTTAAGCTACCATAGTGCTAGCAGTTCCTACTGAAAATGGTGTCTCTGTTTGGTTTGCTTTCCCTGCACAACTTCCACATCCAGAACTGTCTTGAGCAGGAAAATTTGGTCCATACTTTTGTTGTTGTTCTGCTCATGCGGAGAGTAGAACCGGTGAGAGGGAGGGCAAAACAGACGAGCACTGTTTGGCCTAGAAATGCAAAGCCTGGAGGATGAAGCAGTTTACACTGCAGTCTGGAAAACCCGACCCATGCAGGGTTCTCCCTGTACAGTGCACGACCTAAACCGACTCTTTGCCCTTCCGGCCATTGGTTATGCCGTGGTAAGTTTTATGTCCGGTCTCACCGCACAACGAGGACAGTCGTCAGCTTACTCTAGATTCTCCAGCACAGGGAGTTCTCTGGGCAGGAGTACCACTTCAATGTGATAAGGTTAAACCCTAAGTCATTGCAGTGAAGTCTCCCCAGAAGAATGCACAGATGGCCATGTGAGATACACCCCCACCCCCCTGTCCCACCCCCTGCACCTGCTTGCATTTAGTTGTGGTGGCCCAGACTCACTGTAATGGATTTGGCCTGTGATGCCTGATGATCTTATCATTGAGGCAGATGATCCTCCAACTTGTCATCAGTGAGTTGGGAATTGATATAAATATAGAGTGAAATATCTAGCGAGACAGAGATTTAGAGAGATGACTTGGTTATGGGGTACCTATAGTTTAAAGAATCCCTGCTTCCCCTTCTTGTAATGATAATGTACACTTGCTGATCTCTTGATTAGGAGGTCAACTTTTTCATCCGTAACAATTCAAATCTCATCAAAATTTCTACTTCATGTGTTTTTCTTTGTATTGCATTTGGGGGGGGAGGCTTTTTCAAGTCTGAGGTACAGAGTAGTGCATAAAACAGATCTGCCAGATTTAGATACTTGATGAAAGCCAACGCCCATGTAACCAGCACCAAGGTCAAGAAATAGACCATTGCCAGCCTTCCAGAAGTCCTTCCAGTCTCAACCCACTCCCTCCCCGATGGATATAGTCATTATCCTGACTTTGTGATAATCATCTCAGTGCTTTTCTTCATAGGTTTACCACTTTATATGAAGTTACATAAACTGGATTTTACTGCATGCTTCCTTTTATTGCTCCCTTCTGTCGTTCTGCATCAAATTTGAGAGATTTGTCCATGTCATCCATAGCAGCCGTAGACCCTTGTCTCCATTGTGGACTAGAAGTCCAGTGTATGACGTTAGTGATTATGATCTGATTGTGCCATTCTCTAGGGGATGGACACTAAGGGTTGTTTTTAGTGTTTGACTAGCGCAGTGAACAATGCTGCAATGAACTTTCTTGGACATTTCTCATGGGACACATTGTAAAAATCTCTTGGGTAGTCGTCTGAGAAAAGAATCACTGGACCATAGGTTATGCTTATCTTCAGCTATTCAAGGTGATGCCAAATTGTTTTTTTCTGTAGTTGTACCAATTTACTCTCTTACCGATAGCACAGAGAGTTCCTGCTGGCACTCATCTTCACCTACACCTATTGCCAACATTTAATATCATTTTTTACTATTACTATTAAACTATAGCATATTTTCAGGTCTATTAGCCGTTTAGATTTTTCTCTTTTGTGAAAGGCCTGTTCAAATTCAGCTTTCAGCCATTTCTCTATTGTTTTCACCATGTACTTCTGACTAAATGATTCTTTATTTGTTTTAAATACCAGTCCATTGGTGGTTATAGGTTTGGGCCAAATATTTCCTTGCTTTGTTGTTTGTATTATCAGTTGCTTTATGGTGTGCATATGAACAGAAGAATCTCAGTTATAGAGTAATCACATCCTAACTGTGGTTTCGCTTTTTGTGCTTTCAGTTATCTATGGTCACCTATGATCTGAAAATATTAAATGGAAAATTCGAGAAATATACAGTTTATAAATTTTAAATTACACATCATTTGGAGTAGTGTGATGAAATCTCATACTGACCCTACTTCTTCCTGCCCAGGATGTCAACCATCCCTTTGTCCAGGATATTAACACCGTACATAGAGTACAATAAGATATTTTCAGAGAGAGAGAAAGGGGGGAGTGGGGAGAGAGACCAAAGTCACTTAACTTTTATTACAGTATATTGTCATCATTATTCTATTAATAGTTACAGTTGTTAACCTCTTACTGTGCCTAATTTATAAATTAAACTTGATCATATGTATGTATAAGAAGAAACGTAATATATACAAGTTTCCAGGCTTACCCTGGGGGTCTTGGAATGTATCCACTGAAGATAAAGGAGGACTACTGTAGTCAAATTTATCAATCTTACCATTAGTGCTTTCTGTTTTAAGATATCTGTCGCAGTCCTAGGGACATGAAAATATTCTCTGTATTGTCTTCTAAAACATTTATGATTTTGCCTTTCACAATTAGGTCTTAATCCACTTGCAGCTGTTGTTTGTATATGGTGTTGAGAGGGGTTTTGTGTTTTTTTTCATGTGGATACCCCATTTTCTCAATGAATCATTTATTAATAAGTCTGCACTTTTCCAACTTATTTGCAGCACCACATGTATCATAAATCAAGTATCTATCTATGTATGGGTTATCTTTGATTCATCTATTTGAAATACCATGTTATCAGTATTAATTACTACAGATCTCTAATCAATCCTGATTATTTGGATAAGGCCATCAGTTCTACCTTGTTCATCAAATTATCTTGGTTATTTTCAGCCTTTTTGACTCCATTTAAATTACCAACCATTAGAAAAGGGTCAACCAAAAGCTTGCTTGGAGTTCTATTTAGACTTGTGTTAAATTTTTAGATTTGACTTATTTTCAATATTGAATGTTTGATTCGTGGCTATTCGTATATCTCCTTTTAATTAGAACTTACTTAATGTGTCCCAATAATATTTTATATTTTTTCCATAAGAGGACATTTTACCCTAGGTACTTCATATTTTGAAAATACTATTTTTTGAAATTTTTATTTTCTGAATTTGTTGCTGGTATGGCAAATAGAATGCAATTGGCTTTTATATATTGATTTTTTTTTATCCTCAAGTGTCCGAATACTTTTAATGAGCCCAACAGTTTGTCTGTAAATACCTATAGAGTTTAATGTACACAATCATATCATTTGCAAATAATGCCAGTCTTAATTATTTCCTAATATTTTGTTTCTTTTTTTCCCTTGCTGCTCTCTCTGGGTGATGGTGGACATCCTTACTTGATGCGCTCTCAAAGAGAAACTTTAGTAATTCCAAGAATGATATTTGTTATAGATGTTGTGCTCTGTAGTAATCTTTTTTTTTTTTTTTTTT